TGGTCCTTTGTCAAACCATGTCAGTGTACCAAATTTCATCAAAATGTCTTAAAAAAATCAAGGCAGACAAACGCGCTTAAATCCAGTCAGCAAGGGGATGCCCGGTTTGCGTGTAAAATGTCACGACGCGAATGAAGTGAGGAAAGACAAAAAGATAGGGATAAGAGTTGACTGCTGCCCAGTGGCCGATAAGTGTTATGCGTTTTTCTCGCCTGAGCGACCAAAGTAAACTCTGTCGCACTTGAGATTTAAACCCGCGAACGCTGACTTAATAGTCGAGATTTTTACTTAATCGGGTACTCAAGCGGATCCAATGAATTTTAATATATATGTCCGTCTCTCTAAACACTTGCTGATTTGATCTTGAAATACTGACGCCGAAAACTTGAACTTACTTCGGATTAAATTTACCCACATATACATCCACATTAATTACTATAGAATTCGAAAGGGTATTTTGAAAGGAACTGAAATTATCAAAACGTTTTTAAAAATTTAGTTGGATTTCTCTCTAAGTTGTTATTATTATTTATTATTATAATTCATTTAGCCAGAGAAATAATTTGTAAGACTAAAGTCGTAATCCTTAAATGCATATTGCTACCAATTGCCTACATTCCAGTTCCACTTAATCTTAAAATTAAGTTAAATAAAAGAACAGGCACTTCGCACTTAAGCGTTGCAGCGCTAGCATGCATCTAAGACTATCGGTTTTATTTAAAACTCTACCTAACTTGAGATTTCAACCACCGCCCATCAAGTTGTTAGCCGAGACCCTTTTCCTTCTCGGCCACTCGAGCCGATTCTAAAAAATAAAACTTATTTGCCTAACCACGTTTAACTTTAGTTCAAATCCGAGGTATCCACGATACGACGCAATATATGTTTTTTTTTTTTTATGTGACTGATATTCAATTTTATCGCATTTAAAAAAATTTTTGAAACTCCACTTAAAAACGCTTTAAATACCACTAATTAACTTTTTCTTTATTTTTTATTTTACTGATACGACTTTGTTTGCATGTATTATTAGGTAGTTATTAACGGACCGTAATATATCATAGTATTTAGGTTAACAAGAGCAAACGTAATTCATTGCACTCTAAATAACATTTATTTGAAAGATGATGACGATCATAATGATGATATCTAACTAACACTGCAAGCTCACATGTTTTCTTTCATAGCGGGACAATTGAAACTTCATCATGTTTGTGTAGTTTAATAATAAATTTAATATCTGGAAATATTATCGCAGTAATGACGTGTACAAAAATGTTGTTTGTTTTTTTTTTTTATTATTGTTAGTTTTTCAGTTAACGGTAACGTTGATAATAAAACAAAAAAAAAATCACAGAATGGCAATATTTCATATAGCACATATAAAGAAAAGAAGCAAAAATACCGAATTCTTTAAATACACTTTATTAGTTTGACTTCTTGATTACTTTGATGAAAGCAACTACAACAAAAGAAAAGCTTGTCTTTCTCTCAACCCTTAAATGCATAGCGTCGGAATTGTGGTCATATCTTTTTATATAGCAATCCTTGCATAATGTTTTTTTATTAACTCTTAAATGTATATTGTTGCCAGTGTTATCTTATTTTCAAATTGTTTTACCAGAAAATTAAGTGAAAGTGTAATGTTGACAATTGGCAACAATATGTATTTAAGGAAAACCTGTATTGTCAGGTTAAAGAAACTAGTTTATGACCCTTTTTCATCAAAATTCGTAGGAAAAGTTTTCTTGTCTCTTACATACACTATTAAATCAAAGGAATGTAAATTTGTGATCGGCAGTCGTTTCCGACTTTTTTTTTTTTTAAGTGATACAATTAAACCTTGACTGTTCTGGCATGTTTTAACGAACGACGGAGTTCGGCGATTTTCGTAGATGTCTTTTGAATTCAGCTTTACACAATTATGAACCCTTTGCAGGAAGAAAAACAAATTTGTGGCAAGATCCTTTCACATAGGAGATGTGTGAAAACATCGCAGCCAAACTCTCTCTCTCTCTCTCTCCATTTTTACTGAATAATTCAAAAAGTGTGATATCAGATGACACCACGATTTTGACCCTCTACCTAATATTAGAATGGGTGATGCAGTGATTGCCAACCGTGAAACCTTGTTTATTCTGCTCGTTTGTATCAACTCAAGCCAAGTTAAAATTAATTAAATGTCTTGTTGTGCCACTTATATCGTATGAAGCCATCGTGTACAGCCACTTCGATCGCGTTTCGAGGGCCAAGCTACACTTAACTTTCAAAAAGTGTGCCAGATACATTTTCAATAAGCACAAATACGACAGAATGTCGCCGTTTTCAACTGGGATTTTAAATTCTGATCTATCATAGTTTCTTAATATGTGAAATGTGTACGATGACTGTAATTCTGCCAGACCATAAGTATTTGAGACCATTAAGGTTTTTTTTATCAATGTTGTGAATTTATGAAACGGGCTACCGCCTAATATCGAGGCTATTGTTAATGTGTATAGTTTCAGAGCAGCAATCAGGAAATTTTATAGTCCCTAGTGCAATAGTAATTATGTAATTATCTCGAATTTCTTGGGCACTTCGAGTTATCCTATCTAGTATTTTAGCTCGTGCTGAAACAGATTTTATAGTCTTACTGGCATGATAAACTCATTTTAATCGTAATTAATTACAATTAATAATGGAACTTGTAATTGTTTATGTACTGATTAATTATTGATTAAATGAATAATAATAAAAAAATAAGTATTTAAAAAATTGAACAGTTATGAACAGTATGAACAGTCCGATTAAGGAAGTGGAACCGTACTCTCATATCCTATGGCACTGTCTTCACGTAACTCTATAAGAATTTTAGAAACGCTGGTACGAAACTTTAGGCACATTCGGCCGTGTGTCAGTGTAATGTCTGCTGTAAACATTTTTTTGGCCGCTATCGACTTCAAATTTTGCAGAATCATTAGAAATTCTTACACGTAGATTGGTGCTGAATATGGAGCCAAAACGGTCGAAGGACGCACATACAATGCCTCGTAAACTGAAAATACTTTCGTTCGTGTTTTCCAATAGAAAAACAATGCGGTTTTTGCTATTTATTCATAAATACCACAGCAAATAAACATTCAAAAATTAGAACGTATATTCTATCTGCAATGTCATAGCACCTATATAAAAATGGCAAAAATTGACCACCCCATCCCAATAATTATATCGTATCAAAATTTAATTTTCTTTGTCAGTGCACAAGTAAGTTTCGAAAACTCCATAAAGTATATAAATTCTTGGCGAATTCAAATTTGGAATTCACCTAAGCATATCTATCAGTGCGTCTGCTTAACTGTTCAATTGCGCATCTGTAGTAAACATTCTTGCTTCGCAAAAATGATTACATCACTTTAAATTTACAAAAGAATCTCAAACTGACCCAAATCGGTCAAAGGACACACAATGCCCATCATTGCGAGCACCTTTGCCTTCCGTGTTTTTTTTGCTTGTTACTCACAAAGTACAAGACACAGGTCATATAAATTTTCACTTTCATTGTGAAAATCAAGAAAAAATCAGTCAGTATTACTATGAAAATTTTTTTCCATTGTTTTCCAGCCGAATATCATTTTCGTACTTGTGGTGTAGTTTTCCGTGATAATGTATGCACTATGCTTACGCTTACGAGCGTTTAAATCAATATTATTCGACACGAGTGAAATGTTCCGTCGAATCTTATGTGAATGCGCGGCCATCTGCAGACTCAGTCAAAAGTTTGGCGACTACGTCAAAGCGCTAGCCACCACAGTATAGTACTCCGAACAAACGATTGTGGGCGGATTCATAAAAATTCCAAACTCGAAGGGCTGGGGCGTTAAACGGATACAAGAGATCAATATACATAGACATAATAACCAGTGTGTTGCTCACATTTGCATGCCTCTAAAAAGTTTATGGTGAAAATTTCATTATTTTTAGAATACCTTTGCTAGCAAGTAAGAGATAGATGTCGAGAGCTTTAATTTAATTCGCGTAGAAATTTTATGTTCCTGCTTTCCGACAGAAGAAAATATTAGTTTAGAATTAAATTGTATTTTAAGCCTAGCATGCATTCAGTATAGCAAACATGATTGTGTTGATTTTTCCTTATTTTCTTTTTTTCTTTGATAGCATTTATTGAAATTTTCATTTGCTTTTTTTTTAATTTTTCTTGTCGTTTGCTAGCTAATTTTACATTTTCTATATATAGCAAACATTCGTTTAAAGCTAAAAATAAAATTTTGTTTATTTTAATTGATTTGCGTTTGTATTATTTTCATTATTATTGCTTTCGACATGATCCATTAATTGTTTTCTACGATTTCTCGTTTCTATTATTGTCGTTACTATTGTGATTCTTATTGTTGTTCTTCTTATATATTTGTGTACATACATATGCTATTGTTGTTGTTGTTGCTGTTATTCTCATCGTTGCATTTCTGCATTTGTATTGTAATTGTCTTGTTTTCTTTTTTGCTATTTATTTTATTTCGTTGTCTAGTAGTATTTGCCCCACATATATGTTCATTTTAATGTCAACATTAGTTCTTGAACTAAAAACAAGATTTAGAAAAAATCTGAGTTAAAGATAAAGAAAAAAATTATGAAAACTTTATCTGATTGTATAATAAAATGCCGAGTTAGTTATTATTATTGTTATTGATATTTATTTAATTTAATAGATTTCCGTATTATATCTGAATAAATGTTTGCAACCATCTGTGTAAGCAAAATATATTTGAACAATTTTACTGTTAAGCCTATCTTTCAAATTCAGTTGCACTTAACAACCCTAAATGAAAGGATATAACCATAAATAGAACCTCAATCGCAATTTTGCTGGCGCATGCGTTAATATAACGTCATTTCTTTTTTTATCAATTTTTATACTTTGCTGAAATCATGGATACAACTTTGAAAGGTCATGTTTGTAATTGCATTTTTGTTTTCTTGTTCTTCTTTGTTTTTTTTTGCAGTGTGGGACACTAGACGCACCCGATTCGTCATATCATAAACAAAGATCCGATAGAATGGACGTTTATCAAATTGATGATGGTTTTCATTCGGATGGTGGTACTGAAACTCCACCACCATCGCCTAGTTCCGGTTCATCAATAGCGTCCACATCAGATCACGGTTCATTGGAAAGTGTCGACACGGGCGGTACTCAACGTTTAGCAGTCTTGTCTTTCGAACAAGTGCGCAAATTGCATCATGTTATGGATGAAAAAGTTGCCATACACGGTCGCGGTAATTTTCCTACATTAGAAGTAACACTTAAAGATTTGGTAAATTTGGTGAGGCGTAAATTAGAAGCCGATGTAGGTTCTGGTGGGGCCGGTGTTATAGTCAAGGATGTACGTCTAAATGGTGGGGCAGCTAGTCATGTATTGGCCTCCGAGGATCAGCCATACAACGACCTGGATCTAATTTATGCCATTGAACTGAGCTCATCACGTCACTTTGATCGTGTCAAAACGGCAGTACTGAATAGCTTGCTAGATCTGTTGCCCGAAGGTGTTTCTAAGCGACGCATTTTACCGTGTGCGCTCAAGGAGGCCTATGTGGGTAAAATGGTTAAAGTCAATAATAATAACGATGGCGATCGTTGGTCATTGATTTCATTGGGCAATTCACCCGGACACAAAAATGTTGAATTGAAATTTGTCGATACAATGCGACGTCAATTCGAATTCTCAGTCGACTCATTTCAGATTGTTTTAGATTCACTGCTATTATTTTACGATTGTGCCGCTTTACCCATTTCCGAGAATTTCTATCCCACAGTGGTTGGTGAGTCCGTCCACGGTGACTTTCAAGAAGCCTTGTATCACCTGCAAAAGAAATTGATCTCAACGCGGCAGCCCGAAGAAATACGTGGCGGCGGTTTGCTCAAGTATTGCAATTTGCTGGTGCGCAACTATAAGCCAGTCGATTCACAACGTATCAAGACGCTTGAACGTTATATGTGCTCGCGTTTTTTCATTGACTTCCCGGATATTAATACGCAACGTGTTAAATTAGAAGCGTATTTACGCAATCATTTTTGGGGTATAGATGAGGAGCCATTGCAATATCAGTACCTGATGCATTTACGCGATGTGGTCGAAAATTCGACTGTATGCCTAATGGGTCATGAGCGACGTCAAACCTTAATGCTAATTCAATCATTGGCCGCTCAAGTACTATACAAGGAGCAACAGAAACAAGTGCAAGAGCAACAGTATCATCAGCATCAGCAACAGCATCATCAACAGCAGCAGCAACATCAGCATCATATATTGGAATTGCAACAACAACAACATCAATCGCAGCAAGCAAACAATTCTACAGTAACCTTAATGACTTCGACGTCATCACATTCAACACAACAACAACAACAGTCTGGACAGCCGACGGCAACAGCCATTTATGTACAGCAGCCACAAACTATGACCGCAACGGCCACCATATGTTGTGCCATGCCGGCCAACAGTTCTGAACAGCAGCAGCAGCAGCAACAACAACAGTCAACCCAACAACAGCAGACTCAAAATCAAACAAATGCAGCTGCAATGCCACCACAGACCATACAAATACAAGCCGGTCCGCCGGGATTGATTTACGCTAACGGCGTCTATTATGCACCTGTGATTCCAACAACCATTTGCACTTGCAATTCAACATGGCTAAGCACGTGATTAAATCTGCCTGCAACTATATTAACAGCAACAAAAGCAGTGACAACAGAAGGGTCTCTGATCAATTGCAACAATCACTTAAATAAACAACAATACATAGAAGTAATTAAGGCTCCAGTCAAGTTTATAACAACAGAAGCAACAACATCAGCAACCACACCAGTAGACTCAACTATAAATTTCATAAATAACTTAATAGTTACAAATAAAAAAGATATAGAAAACAACAATAGCCTAAACAGACAAACTAACGGTTTTGAAGGTTATAATGAAAATTATAATGATGATGATGATAAAGAAGAAGATGATAATGAGGTTACGAAAAGAATAACAATAACGAAAACAGGTTTAGCGGGTGATTTAATATTAACACATGATTATCATGTAGTGCAGATTGAAAACGATTTAAATGAAAGTGAAGCAGACTTTATCTCAGGTTATGAAGAGAAGAAGAATTTTAAAGGTGAATTTGCTTATTTCGTACCTTACGATGGTTCAGAACCGTATACTTTGATATTGGGGGAAAATTTCTATTTTAATGTAACTGCATTTCAATTCCAGAGTTGAAATGATTAGGACTTGAAAATATATAAAATTTACTGTTATTGTTTTGAAGGTTACTCTCTCTTTCATTAACTATATTATAAACATTAAAAGGCTTGTACTTAATTTCTTTACATTTTCTAATCTTTTCTCTTTTTTTTGTTTGTTAATGAATGTTTAATGATTTTGAATTTCCTTTTTATTGTTTTTTTTATTTATGTTTTTTTATTGTTATTTTCTTTAATATCAATTCATACACGTGCTTTGAAATTCCGTAACGTCATGTACATTTATTTAATCTATTGTATTATAAGGTAACCTTTGAACCTTATAATTAAAAATGTATAGTAAAGAAATTGTCACCTAATGCATTCAAAGCTTAAAACATTTCTAGGCCAGTATAGAATTTTGTTAAGTTGAAATTATTTCTACTTGTAGAAACCACTAAACGAATTTTAGGTCGCTTCTTCCTACTAAAATTTTCCGTCAAATTTCAAGTCAAACGAGAATTTGTTGAGATTCTTCATTACAAATTTATAAATTCAATTTAAATAACTTGCAATTTGAAAAGCAGCCAACGAAATAATTTTAATTTTCAGACAAATCAGAAATTTAGTTTGAAATCATATGCGGTTAAGGATAAGTTTTATTCATTTTCCACAAAAGCAAGATATCTATTATATATGTTAACTTGTAGTTTAAATTAGTTAGCACGGCGAGTTAGCATATCGTAGTTTTGTGATTCCTTTATTGGTCTGAAATTCTAGTTTTAATAAGTTTATGTTGTAAATCAACTTGAAATTGAAAACTGTTACGAATTTATATCTAAACCTCAGTTTAAGCTTTGCTGTTAACCTTCAGTTAAAATCGATTAGGAAACATGAGGAGTTAGTTATTTATTTTTTCAAATTCTAAGCAAAACTAAAACCTTTACGATTAGCTTAATAGCAGTACGATACAGTTCACGGCAATAAACTAAGTGAAGTCTTACTTTATTCCCCAATCACTTCAGTGGTTTCTGTTACAATTCGTTCAATTTTTATGTTTAGTTATAGACACTCCCTAGCCTTTGAGAGTTTTAGTAAATCATTTATACAAACTTTTTTTTTTAATGTTTTTAATTTGTTTTTATTGATGTTACTATAATACGTTAGTTTTAATTCATTATTTGTTTTTTATGTTAATTTTTGCTTTTTTTGTATCATTGATAAACTTGACTGTGAGCAGAAGCAATGTATAACTCTGGCTTTTTTAAATTTTCAATAACTTTTTCTACTTTTAATTTTTTCTTTAAAGAATTTTATGCAATTTTTCTTGTATAAATAGAAATACTTTGAAAAAAAAGCAAAAGGAAAGAAAATCTTAAAATTGTAATCATAAAAACGCTGATACACAAACAAAAAAGGATATTAAAATATGAAAATACAACAAAACCTTTTATGTATGTATGTGTATAATATAAGATAGAAACATAATTTATATAATGTAACATAAAAAATTTAAAAGAAAAAAATTGAGGAAATTCCAAATACCTTGGTTTTTTTATTCGAAAATCTAATAAGAATATATTTCAATGTAAATAGTAATAGAAAAAAAAAACATTACTGAAATCAAATTTAAAAATACAAAAAAAATAAGATGAAATTTAAAAAAGTAAAAACAAATAAATATATAATAGAAAAAAAGATATATATACATATACACAAATATATATATTCATAATCAAATGTTTATTAAAGACAAGATGGCAGCTTAAAAGAGAAAGAAACAAAGGAAAAAATTTATGTAAAAAAAAAAAAAATTGATGAATAAAAAAAGAATAAAAGGGTAAGAGCTCGTAGCCTGTGTCTGAAAGGAGAGAAGAAGGAAAAGTTTATATATTCATTTTTTTTCTTTTTTTTTTTTTTGTTTGTAAACTAATATATTCTGTCTGTCTTTGTAGTTTTGGTTATATAATAATAACCCTACATGTAAATGCTTTATGAATCATCATTATAATTATTTTTATTACTACTATTATTATTATCATCATCAGAAAGTGAACACAAAATTCAATATATATATATATATATATATATATATCAAATTAAGCATATTTTTGTTTAAAATAATTTGCATTATCCTCTTAAAGTGGTAAATTCTGTTTTCTTAATTTAAAAAACAATAAGTGAATTATGTTAGTTATAATTCTAAAAATATTCCCATTATAAACAAAATTCTATCCAAATTTATGTTAAATAAAAACAAAAAAATTAAAACAAAATTGATTTTAGAACAAATGTTATAAATACGCGAGTACACTAAAAAAAAAAAAAATACCAGCAAATTAATTAATTTAAAATCTGATGCTAGTTTAAGGTTCTCGATATCGAGTATGTACTTAATTCGACAGTCGTTCGTGTTTTGTAAATTAATACAACTCGATTGCTGTCGTTTCAATCGAGGCACAAACAACGTTATGTTTGCGCAATTATCATCTGTGCGTGCATAATAATAAGAAGAAGAAAGAGAAAGTAAATTGCATAAGCAAGCATTACATTACAAGTCCAACAACTTGTTGTGCAACTGTGTATGTTTGTAGAAGGATTTGTGCAGATGTACGCAGAAGGACTTGCACCCGGACCCGGATTCGATTGTGCCGATTGTTTCAAAATCACTTTCTAGCTTAATTTTTTTGATTTACTCCGCAAGAGTAGCCGAATAAATAAGAATTGCGATTACCAACTCAGTGTTAGCGGGGTGAAGTCTTACTGCAGTAAGTTTTACTTTAGTCGTAACTATAATGAGCATTCAGTCGTTGTAAGCGTAACTCTTACCGATTGGGCACACACTCATTAAGCTGTGACTATCTCCTTATTTCCTTCCGCTCCTACATTTTTTTCTGCCCGTCGACGTGATCCGCGTATAGGTAACATCCTGTGAGTGACAGAGAGAGAGAGAGAAAAAACTGATTTGAGTTAAGCGTGTCTGTTCGTCGAATTTGGTACGCTAACATATTTTGGAAGAAGGATCAAAGCGATTAAAAATAGTCCCGATCCGACCACATTTTCGAGTACTTTGCTAGTAGTCAAATGTCGTTATATAAATAACTCTAGGATAATGAATTTGGTAGTGGGCCGTGGCTAATTATAGCGTTTTTAGTTATATTTTTACGACCCTTTAACTCTTACAACTACTTAGCCATCTTCTAGGGAATCGTTTCATGGGTGTGGATCAATATAATGACGATTATTGCAATTTAATCTTGAAACCACTTTTTTATATTTTACTACTCAATTTAGAAAAGTTTTTGACGATTTCGCTCAGATTTCTCCATCATTTTTAATGCATTTCAATAAAATTGTTAAACGCATAGTAAACAATTTGCTTATGTTTTTTGTAGGAATTTCAAAATTTTTTTTGTAAATCATACCATAATGAAACATTTTTATTGACGGAAAGCTGCCATTGCAAATCATGGGCCGAAGGAAACCATAGGTAGGGTAAAATACAAAATGTTCCAGGTCTTACGATCTACCCGTTTGGTCGACCGTCCTCTTATCCCTATAAGAATGAAGCGCGTGTATTTCTTATAGACACTTGTCTTGTAGCAGTTTGTGAAGTGCTCGTCGGAGAAAAATTTAAAACCTACCATATCTTCCGAACTGGCTAGCTCAGCAACGGCACGTATGAAGAAATTCGGCAAATCTTTAACAATTTCTCGGATCTATGGTCCTTTTTATCAGAGGACTACAAGATTCGTTGTAACATTTTATTGAATTCTAGTGCAAGCAACTAGAAACACATCTCATCATCAAGTAACAGTAAACCTTGAATGTAGGTAGCACTTCTTTTGCAAAGCATTCCTTTTTCTCAACGCAAGGGGAACTCTTTGTAGCCGAGACAGCTCACATTCTTCAAAAGTTTCCTTCTTCTCTTTCGTTTTAAATGAGATATTACTACTTCAATCCCTTGGATCCTCTCATGGGCAGATGGCCCACCAGTCAGCAGTAGTTTCTTTTGGCCGAGATAGCCCAACTTCCTCAAAAATTTCCTTAAAAATATATATAGGTGAGCGAGAAATTTCGAAATAGTAGTTCGCGTAATATCTTGTTGATTTATGGCTCCCGATGTCCGGGGTAAACTCGATTGCTATTTAAATATATTACTCAATAATAATTTTATGAACGAAGCGTATTTGATCCGATAGTAAGAAATATGCACACTCTTATCGAAAGCTATAAAGTCTCTTCCTATTACACCGAGTACATAACTCACAGCTATCGACTTTATTCCTTAACTTTAGTTATAATTTGGCCTCTGCCAACACCCGGGATCTTGCAATAGAGGTGTTAAGTTCTTCTTCTTTTTTTGTTTCAAGCAGGGTAGGGCAACATATTTTTCTGTTAGAATTCGGTTTGTTTTACGGTAATTTCGCTTATAATGCTAAATTTATAATACTTTGAAGCGTCTCATTACACAAAAGAATGAAAGCCACGCATACGCTTGATTTTATTTACAGGCAGATAATGACTTTAAAGTGCAAACTACTTAATGAATATTGCGGTTGTTCGCAAGAGTGTCGATGGTACACATCAAGTTTTATCAATAGCAATCGCAGACGAATCACATTGTCCGGTTAAGTCTGGGATGAATTGCTAAATATGCCCCCAGTTGGTATCACTCCAAAATGAAATCCCCATTATTTGGTCATTAAGACGACGATTCTCCACATCAAGCAACAGTTCTATGCAGTTTTGTGTGAAGCATTGTTTAGTATATAGATACAAACAAAAAACCTTCACCGTGCTGTTTTATGGATTAATTCTTGGTAATTTTTGATTATCGTACATGCAGCTGTAAGCCTGCGCATTTTTTTTTTTCTTTAATAGAAGAACGATGTTTTTCGCTCAAAACGTTTAAGCTGGACGCACACGTAAAAGTTCACTTAAAAGTAGTTTTCATTTAATTTAATTTTTTTTTTTTTAATTTATTTAAAATTATTCTAAACACTTGCGTACTTATTAATTTTTAAGTAAATCTTTTAGTTATACAAATAAAATGAATTATGTTTCTTT